CAGCTCAGCCTTCGTTGCCCCCCCCCCCGTTACCGTGGCCGCACTGTCTATTTCAGCCCCTGCCGCGGCCGGGCCGCCTTCAGCACGTCCGGAACCGCAAGCAGCTTCTTGTCATTCAATCCTTTCTGATCCTGTTGGGCGCCAGGGCCCTGCTAGGTCCTAGTGCCCCTCGGGCCGCGGTCCTCTGGGTCCCAGCGCCCACGCAGCAGCGGGAAAGGGTCTGGCCAGAGCCACTGGCCTGCCTGGTCTGGCCTGGCATCTCGAGGGCTAAGTCCCACCAGTCTCAGAATCACTGCAATATCATACTTGCACTCACTAGATCCTATTATCCACTAGCTTTTGGTGGGGAAGGTTAAGAAAGCCCCTCATTTCAGTGCTGTCTGGCCAGATCATTGGCCAAATGACACTAAATTGGTGAGTTGGTGGCTAAAAAGAGAGGTTTATAAACTCAGAGTGTTTGTCCACCCCCCTCTGGAACTGTCCTGTAGTTGTGGGTCCAAGCCCACCTCCACTCTGGAGCTCTCTCTGCTGTGGTCTCCCAGGCAGGACCTGGATTCAGCTCTGCAATGTCCTGGTGCTCAGCAGGCCCTGCATCTGAGAAGAGCTTCCTTCTCACTTTCCTTGGGCCCACTGTTCTGGCAGTTGGGCCCTGGTCACCTCCAAGTCCTAAAACCCCGTCCACTGAATCCCAGTGCTTACTAGATCCCAGTCCCATCCACTAGGTCCTCATGTCCAAGCACAATCCAGAATCCTTGCTCCTTGTCTTCTTGCCCTTTATCTCAGTCCTTTATCCTAATACTAGAGCCTCAGTTTGATCCATTTTCTATGTCCTTTCCTTTAGGTCTCACACACTTTCAAGACAGCCTTCTGCACCCTAATGCTCTGTTGACTCCTTGTTCAGCCTGTTTGGTCTTAGTTCTTCGGGGGTCTCAAGCCGTGTTTTCACTGGTTCTTGTTTCTGTCCCCCCAGCTCACGCTATCTGGATTGGGTTTGGTGTCCTACGGGATCTAGAGCTTTTGTAATGGTGCCTAGCATTCTCGAAGTCTTGAAGGGCAGTTGCTGGGCTCAGAAACTCTGCTGATTCACACCCACTGCATCAGGAGGCTCACAGCTCTCATGCCATAGGTAGGTGTCCCTTCCGATTCAGCCAGTCACCCACGTTCTAGTGATGTCCATTCACTACTGCATAGTCCTCATTACTGCATTACTGATCTGATTCATCATTCAGACTCACTGGTTCTAAAGGTTCTTGCTGTCCAGTCTTTGCATTAGCATGAGAGTCTTATCCTGTGCACTTGGTTTTTTTCCCATACAAATTTCCCTAGATAGTCTCACTTCCTTGGGTTGCCTACATCCCACCATTTCCTCCTTTTCAGTGGGCTGGAAAGCCTAACACTCAGCAGTCTCCTCACTGAGGTGCCTGTGGATCAGTCACCCCTGTGTCTCTGCTACTCAGCTGTCCTTGTGCTTTACCAGATCAGCCTGCCATTTATGCCTAATGAATCCATATCCTTCCGTACCCATTCAATCGATAATGCATATTTCCGGAGAGCAGCTCATTCAGACTCTCCATTACAGCAGTGGGTGGAGTAAGCATCTCTCTCCAGAACACTGGGAGTCTGGAGGGCTCGAGGCCCATTCTATATTCATACTCACATTTGCTGGATCCTATTATCCACTATCCTTTCCTTCACCCCCTTCTCCATCCTTTGGCCAGGAAGGTTAGAAAATCTCTTGCTTCAGTGCTATCTGATCAAACCCAAATCATTGGCCAAGTGAAATGGAGCTGGTGAGTTGGTGGTTTAAAGGAGAGGTTTATAAACTCAGAGGGTGCGTCCCCACATGCAGGGGCATGTGTTTGCCACAGCACAAACAGCAGCACAAATAGCATCTGTGCTGGGCCCAGTAGCCTTATCTAGGGTTCTGGGAGCCTCCCGGGGCTGCAGTAATGCTGAGCTGGCTGCATGGAGCCTGGCCAGCAGAAAGAGCATGGATCTGGATGTCCAGGCTCTGTTTCTGGTGGAGCAGCTGCTGCCATATGCACCATGCCCCTCACCCCCCACGTTTTTTGTGGTGGTTTTTTTTGACACTGGGCTCTTCTGGTGTCAAATTTTGGTGTCACACTGTGAATTTGCAGCAAAGCAAATGGTTGCCCATGTGCCATATGCAGTCTGCAAACCACACGTGCACACTCCTCTGGACATGCTCAGAAAGTTTGTCCAAATTTATCAAGAAGGGCTGAAATACCACTGTTAGCCAGTGGCAGCCCCAGTAAATCTTTAAGGTCCCATTAAGAAGCTTCTCACAGTCCTCCCACATTCTTCTCATTGACTAGGACAGAGATCCTGGCAGCACAATAAAATTCAAATGTAATCAGATTGGTTGACTTTTCTTTTCTGTCGGGGAAATAGGACAGAACAGATCGCACTTTAACAATCAAAGTAAGTTACCTTTGCTCTTCTCTGCTTCTCTGCTCTTCAAGGTCATTCTCGCTAATGAAAATCAATCTTCTCCTTGCTTTTTTCTACTGTGTGGGTAGCATTTTTTACCAATGGCCATTAGCCTCTATGAATGTTTCCTCTGTCATTATATTACAGGCTTGATGACCAGCTTTGAAGTTGGGGGCAAAGACTGATAGTTAAAATGCCCTCCAGCAGGACTGGGAGCTGCAAAAATATCCATGCTGCTTATGGTTGAGACAGTCTGCTGCCAGTGGAACATATATATGGGTACTAAGAACAATAAAATATCTTGACTTAAAATGATTCACAAGGCAGAACTGGATTGCTTTTTGTGTAAAGCATGAAACAACTAACTTCCCTCACTAAGTATTCTCATGTCACCAATTGCAGCACAGTTTGCACACAGTAGAGGTGTGGAAATCATTTAGTTAAAATTCTCCTAGCCAAAGGGTCTGACTAGATTCTGTTCCAGATAGGTGTAGTAGTTTGGTTCATGTTTTTTTTTTCTCTTCCTCCAAGGACTGTCTATTCCTAGATGGTCAGAAGGATTTGCTTTAGTTCTGGTCCTCTGTGGCCATATCTACAGGCTGAAATGTTTCTGTGAGACAACGTTAAACTGAAGTCAAGACCATTAGCACATATGTGACCCCTCTTGGCTGTTCCCCAGCCTATTGGTTTTGCCTTGGGGCTCCCCTGAGCAGCATGATTCAAGTTCTTTTTCCTTCCCTAAGGCCTTCAGGAGGCACCAACCCTTTTGGAATAAGGCCAGAATGTGTTTCCAGTGCTGCAATAAGAGTCAGGAAGTACCACTTCCTGAAAACAAATTCATGGCAATGTCTATGCAGGTAACAAGAACGGGCTCGTCTCATCTCTTCTGATAAGCCCTGGTTTCCTGGAGCAGATCCTGTTAGAGCATTTTGTCAACACCACCGCCCCCCCATACTTTTCTCTGAGTGTTCAGAGAAAGTGGTAAGCCTGACCCTTCTGTGTCACTGAGTCCAAGTCAGAAAGCCCTGGATACAAAGGACCAGGCAACTGAGTCTGAATTAAAGGATACATCTAGAGACCTGTCAGTATATTTTAGTGTAGTTTGTCATTCCCTCCCCCTCCCCTGCACAACTTGATCATTTTGCACATTGAAGTTTGGAAGGGAAGAACAGTATGGTAGGGAAGTGCCAGCCTACAAAGCAGCAGTCATTCTACTTCATTATACTCCCAGCCATATTGCAAACTCTACGTGTGGCTTTGGACAAGTCACTTCATAGGTCTGTACCTCAGTTTCCCTATCGACACTTCCCTACAACACAAAGTGGGATTAGAGGACTAGAAGACTCAGCTCATCAGCATTTGCAAAACACCCAGAGCTCCTTAGATTGATGGTACTAGAAATGGTCCAAATATTACTATTTGTTTGAGTGACTTGTGTATCACAGCATCTATCCATGTATCATAGCATCTACTACTTCCTAAGATGAATCTGGTAGACCTCATCATCAAGATCTTTTTTCTTCTAGTTTTCCTGCTAATCTCCCTGTGCTCAGACTTTCCCAGGTTATGTTCTTTAGAATACCCTCCTGGTAACCTGTACATGGCATTGTACTTTGTTTTCCAGTTTGCTTTGAAGGTGCAATTGCAGTGATAATTCATGTGAATACTTTATCTTTCTGTCCCTCTTCTTTAGGATTTTCAGATGTGCCCTGATGCTATAAGCCCTCATTGCTTCCAGGAATGCAACTCTCCTCTAGCGTGGCTGAACTCAGTCGTGAACAGACAATGGATCCTCCTGCTGAGGACTTCCAACAGGTTCTCTCCATTGACCAGATCCGCTCCATTCGTGCCAGCAATGACTATGTAGAGAGACCTGCTGTCTCCTTCATGCAAGCTCGGTCCAATCCATCCCTGCCACAGAATTCCCACAAGACAGAGTGGTCTCAGGATCATCTGGTGTCTTCCACTTTCCAGGACCTACACCGCAGCCAGAGTCAACACCACCAGATACCACCCTTACAGCCACACTTGAGTCACTCCAGCACTGCTAGCTCCATGTCCCGTAGCACCACTGCCTCGGACCAGAGGCTCCTGAGTGGGATCACGCCCTCACAGTCCGGGCACTCCATCATCCGGACGCCGCCCAGAATGGCTGACCTGAAGCCTGAGGAACCGTTGAAGGGGGTGGCAGAGAAGCCCAGCCTTCACTCTGGACACCTCTTTATCTGTGAGGAATGTGGGCGCTGTAAGTGCGTCCATTGCACGACTGCCCGCACCTTGCCTTCCTGCTGGCTCTGCAACCAGCGCTGCCTCTGCTCGCCTGAGAGCCTCATCGACTATGGGACTTGTCTCTGCTGCGTCAAGGGTCTCTTCTACCACTGCTCCACTGACGATGAGGACACCTGTGCCGACGATCCCTGTTCTTGTGGTCCAGGGTCCTGCTGTGCCCGCTGGGCTGCCATGAGCTTCCTTTCTCTTCTCATGCCCTGCCTCTGCTGCTACTTTCCTACCTTGGGGTGCCTCAAACTTTGCCAGCGGGGCTATGACAGCCTGAGACGACCTGGCTGCCGCTGCCAGAACCACACCAATACCGTCTGTAGGAAGATTTCCTCTTCCAGTGGGAATCCCTTTCCCAAGACTCTGGATAAGCCAGTATGACCTCCTTCAGTGAGGAAAATTGGCTCTTCTTCTCCTTCAGCTCCCTCTGCTGGGCACCCCTTTGGGAAACGAACAAACAGATGAACAGTTAATCAGTCAGTCAGTCAGTCAGTCAGTCGGTGAGTCCTGCCAGGGAGCACGAAGCATGTTCTGAGACAAAAGGAATCTTGCTCCTGCAGCCAAGCCAAACGGTCTGGGTTTTGCACATTTCAGCAAAGGACAAAGACAGATGGAGCCAAATGCTGATGCATGCACTAGGCACTAATTGTCAACAGGGGGGTTGAGTGTGGGATCTGTCACTGGATGGCTCAGGACTCTGTGACCTCAGAATACCTTAGGAGTTCCTCTATGGTGGGTTTAAAATGGTGATGTGTCCTAGCACTATAATCCTCCAGGGACCAGACCACTTAACTCAGTTCTCTTTCATTCATTCCTTCTATGGCACTTTCCTGACTGGCACCTCCCAAAGGCTCTTACTTGGTTCCAGTCTGCTGTACTAGGTGCCAGTTTCTCAAAGGGAGATAGGCCATTGTAGTAAACCAACCAAGGGCAACACCTTACACACGCGCGTGCACACACACACACATGCACACGCGCAAAATAAAAGATCAAGCTTCTAATCATTTTAAGGTAAAAAAGGAATATAAGCAAACCCAAATGTCAATTTTTATGGGTTCACTTGTTAGTGGAAATAGGGAATTGCTGAATTAAGAATCACACTGCCATGGAAAGAACATGATAGTCTGGGTAGAGAAGAGACCCATTTCCACTTCCGTACATCTGTAGCTAGAGGAAATTCATGCTAGTGTATGGTACTCCAGGGTAGAATTGGCTAAGAGCAAAATGTTAAATCTCAACTGAAGGTTAGCACAACAAAAAATGCCTTGAGGGAATGGTAAAGTCTGGCATGCAAAGCCTTACCCTTCTAAGCTGCCAGTGCCAAACCAGCCCAGGTTGGTGCTGACAGGAAGGTGGCATTACCTGATGGTCTCCTATTGGTGAGCTGGTAATTTCATTCCATCTCCATGTCGATGTAATTGAAACCCATCACACCAGTTGGTGTTCCTGTTGACAGGATCAGTAGAGAGGCCAAGAATTAAGTAGACCATGGAGCTTGACCTACCTTTTCACCTCTACAGGTTGTCCCTTTAGGTTTTGGGTGAGGTACACTAGTTGGGAGATGAATAGGAAGCCCACCCTGCTGCCCTGTCCTATTGAGAAAGAGAAGCCTTCAGACTCCAAGGCTTCCAATCTAGTACCTTTCACCAGCACTGAATTCACTTTAAAGAGAGAAAAACAGAATGAAATCTTAAGAACAATTGCCAACTGAAACCACCTTTACTATGGTTTAAGAACAGTTACACATGCTTGTCTCTGTCTACAAATGGAGATAAGCTGAGGTCCTGACTTTGGGCTGGAGGGGGGAAGGAAAGCTGTTTATCAGAAGACAGAAGTAGATGGGTAAGAGAAGTGGGTAATACCTGACTCACCCTCCCCAGTTCAAGTGCCTCATTTATTTTCTGCTGTGATAGAGAGCGCTACACAAAAGCAAGATTCAGCTGAGCAACTTTGCACCCTGTAGGCAAGCCTGATGTTGATACAAGGGGTTCTGAGACAGGAAATGTTGGCTGCAAACTAGAGATGGGTCTGAACCAACTCCCCAGATCTGGACATCTTCAGACAAGGAGGAATTTTAGGTCCAGATTGTGTTTCCTGGTTGGTTGTCTACAATGAGCCAACCTTCTCTATCTGAACATTC